AACAGCTCCAGGAGAAACAGCTCCAGGAGGTGAACTCGGGGTGCTGGCTGGAAGTTTCTGACCCTTTCAGGGTTGTTCGTGATCCAACCTGCTGCCACCACCCCCTGACCCTTTACCTGCTCCTTCATGTTCTTGATCTCATCCCCGAGACATCACCCAGCCCTTTACCTGCTCTTCAGCTTCCCAATCTCATCCCTAAAACCCCACCCGACCCTTTACCTGCTCCTCCCCTTCTCAATCTCATTCCTGAGACCCCACCCAAACTCTTACCTCCTCCTCACCTTCCCAATCTCACCCCTAAAGCCCCACCCAACCCCTTACCTGCTGCTCCTCTTCTCAGTCTCCTCCCTGAGACACCAATCAACCCTTTACCTGCTGTTCACCTTCCCAATCCCGTCCCTAAAACCCCACCCAACCCTGTGAAGTGCTGAGGGTCCTCTACCTGCTCTTCACCTTCTCAATTTCATCCCCAAGACATCAAACAACCCCTCAGGTGCTCCTCATCTCCTCAGTGTCACCCCTGAGACCCCACCCCACCCCACCCCCATGAGGTGCTGAGGGGCCTTCACCTCCTCCTCACCTTCCCAATCTCACCCCCTGAGACCCCACCCGACCCCCCTGAGGTGCTGAGGGTCCTGTACCTGCTTCTTGACGTTCTCAATCTCCACCCTCAGCCTCTGCACGTTCCTGGTGAGCTCCTGGATCTCCAGCTTGGTGTTCCTCAGGTTGTCCCCGTGGCGCCCGGCCGTGCTCTGCAGCTGCTCGTACTGGGGGGGCACCGGGGACAGGAGGGGACCCATCAGGTGCCACCACGGGGGGTTTTGGCACCGATTTCGTGGCTCAAGGGGTGCCACGAGGACCCACCACGGGAGGGACGCCCAGGTGGGGGTCACAGGGGGCGCTGGGACCCCAAAAATCAGGGTTTGGAGGTCTGAAATGGGTCTTGATCCCACGGGGGAGGGGTGGGATAAAAGCCTTGGCCGGGTGGGTTTGGGCTCCTGGAGGGTGGGGTGACCCTTGGGAAATCATCACCTGAGTCCCTCAAGGGTGGGAGAACCCTTGGCCAACCACTGAGTCCCTCTGGGTTGGGAGAATCCTTGGAAAATCATTCCCTAAGTCCATCAGGGGTGGGACAACCATTGGGAAATCATCACCTGAGTCCCTCAGGGGTGGGAGAACCCTTGGAAAATCATCATCTGAGTCCCTCAGGGGTGGGAGAACCCTTGGAAAATCATCATCTGAGTCCCTCAGGGGTGGGAGAACCCTTGGAAAATCATCATCTGAGTCCCTCAAGGATGGGAGAATCCTTGGAAAATCATTCCCTAAGTCCATCAGGGTTGGGACAACCATTGGGAAATCATCACCTGAGTCCCTCAAGGGACCCTTGGCCACCTCTTTGAGTCCCTCAGGGTTGGGATAACCCTTGGCCAACCACCAAGTCACCCTCAAGGGTGGAGAATCCTTGGGAAATCATCACCTGAGTCCCTCTGGGTTGGGAGAATCCTTGGAAAATCATTCCCTAAGTCCATGAGTGTTGGGATAACCCTTGGTCAACCACCAAGTCACCCTCAAGGGTGGAGAATCCTTGGCTAGGCATGGCTTGAGTCCCTCAGGGTTGGGATAACCCTTGGAAAATCATCACCTGAGTCCCTCAGGGGTGGAAAAACCCTTGGAAAATCATCACCTGAGTCCCTCAGGGTTGGGATAACCCCTGGGCCAACCTTGAGTCCCCCTCACAGGTGGACAACCAGCCACACTGCCGAGCCCCTCCTGCCTCCCGAGAAGCGAAGCTGGGCTGGACTTTTCCCCCCTTAAGGTGCCTTTTTTTTAGGGGGGGCCCCCATTTTTCCCAAGATCCCCTTCAGGGGGGGGACCACTCAGATCCCTCAAGAACCCCCCCAACCCCGATCTGTCCTTGGCACCACGAGCACCACGAGCATCCCCGTCGGGGCCGCCCGGCTGTAAATTAGGACCAGCTGATTGTAAATTGTTCCCATTTACCCACCCCGGAGGGAGGAGGGGGGTCCTGGGGTGGTGCCAAACCCACCTGGCTCTGGTACCAGGCCTCGGCCTCGGCCCGGCTGCTCTGGGCGATCTGCTCGTACTGGCGCCGGACCTCCTCGATGATGCTGTCCAGGTCCAGGTGCCGGTTGTTGTCCATGGACACCACCACGGACAGGTCCCGGCTGATGCTCTGCATCTGGGACAGCTCCTGGGGGCAGCCCGGGGATCAGAGGGG